CAGGGGGGAGTAGAAATACTCCTAGTCGCTTCATGCTACAGAAACCGGGATAAGCTCCGGCCTGATGGGCCACTTGGCTCGCATGCAGACTTAACCTTACCTTTTACCTTTAGCGTGATGCCTTTTAGCGTGGTGACTTTTAGCGTGCTGCCTTTTAGCGTGATGCCTTTAAACGTGATGCCTTCTTGCGTGATGCCTTGTTGCATGATGCCTTTAGGCGTAATGCCTTTCAGCCTGATGCCCTTCAGTGTGATGCCTTTTAGCGTGATGCCTATTAGCGTAATGACAATTTGTAGAATCGGCTTGTTGCCATTCAGCTTTGGATTGACGCATGTACAATTTGGATGATTTGATATCAATTACTGAGTATTGAATTTTGTCATTGTTCCATAGGTTATGGAACAATGCACGAGATTAGAAATGCAAGGTCGTATGATCATATCGGAACAATGCATTGTTTTCATGTAAACGAAAGCGCCTCAGAAAGATCGAGAATCAGTGTTTCACAAATATAGAGAGTAGACAGAATACAGCCGCTCTTGAATCAAGTAAGCTTACATTTCGGATCAAATTTATAAGCTTGTTTCCACACGTGCATCTTTATCAAACTGGATAAGCTGCAGTGACAAGAAAAACTTGATTACCCTCTCCAGTTTTACCAAAACCTGTTTTATTTGCATGTTAATGAACTCAGAATATTTCAAGTCCCAGTCGATGGGAGTCACGATGATCATTTTATAGCCAGCTATATCATTATTTGGAATTTTTCACGCACGTGGAACGCACAGTACAGTATATAAAAGCATTACGAAGGGAGATCCGATCAGCGGACAGATCACCGGACACCCTCGGGATATTCATAAGGCGAAAGTTTCCAATAGCGAGAGTTGCAATCGCGAGGTATGATAAAAATGACCCAGTTTTCGGTTGCGAAGTGTCACATACAACATATACTGCTATAGTCTTTGAAAATTTCCATTTTAGTTGTTGCACACATTTACATAAAAATGCAATACTTTCTGCGCAGGTCAAAATACTATACAATAAAAATATTAGTTTGGGACCACCTGAGGTATCGGAAATTCCTTAAGCGGGACGGGGATGTAGCTTCTGTCAGGAGTTGTTTCCATACGGATCCCCGGCAGGGGATTTAGCTTCTGTCCGTAATAACGGAATTTTGGCCAGGAGAGATTTTACATGCCGGCATTTTTTTCAGCATAATAGAGGGACAAAAGAATTGAGCATTATATGCCGGAACACGGGTAACAAAAACTGACTTCTGCGATAGTTGGTGACGTGACCGATAATTTCTACACTTTTAGCCTGACTTTTGGCTACAGCTAAATGAATTTCAAAACTGGAAAGAGCATAGAAACTCTTATTCTTCAGCCATTTCAGCTTGAGTAAAAATAGAAAACATTTGCGTTTACAAACATAACAAAACAACGCATGAGGAACTTAACGTTTCGTGTGCTTCTACATACATCATCAGAAGTATAAAGCGGTTAGTTGCATTACAATAAATTTAAACGAGACGACTAGTACCTAATATGAGGAAAACCGGTACCTAATAAGGAAAGAAATGACAATGGATATAAATGAAAATAAACAGACTTAAAATCTGCTGGAAAAAAAAACATATAAATGGCCAGTAGAAAAGAAGTTTCTCACTGCCAACATTTTCATTGTGCTGGTTGCAAAAGTTGTCTTGTCACGCAATGGTCCTCTCTTTGAACAGCAATACTATTCACGGTCATTGGCGAACAAGTGCGGTCATGACCCGGGGGAACTTCGGGAATTTCTGGGTGGGGATGTGCCACTGGGACTCTGGAACCCTTAGCCTATACCAGAGCTAGTTCAGCTGAATTTTGCTAACCTATACTAGAGTAAACTCACCAAATCCCCCCATCTATCGACACTGTTGAGGCTGATTTGCGTAAATTTAAACTTGCCTATTTGATTTTTTTACATTTTTGAGTGGCAATTCCTGGTTTCCTTACTCTAGATAAAATCTTCAACCAACCAGTCAGTTTTGTGAAAAATGATACCCTATTCTAGACCCAGACACTCTGATTTATATACCCTATTCTAGAGTAAACTGCTTGAAAACCATACCCCTCACAGCGGCACATACCTGCATAGCCCATTTATGGCAGTGCCTCCCCCTCCCCCTCCCCCGGGGGTCATGGCTGAAGTTTATCAATATGGATATGATTTTGGTGTAACGACTAGAGTAAAGAAAAGAATATGGTGTTGCGCGCGAGAGCGAGATCGTTAAAAATCTCTCCAGTGTATCTCAGCTTGTCAAGGCTTGTGATCGTGCCATGAGCAGTATTGACTATAGTCCCGCTATTGTGCAGGGGTCCAAGTACGTTCTGCATGCGTCTGGGCTTAGATTTCAAAACGTTCTTTTGTCAAGTGAAAATACGATTGTACGAAGTATCTATATATCATATTACCACAAAAATTCTATGTACTTGAATTTTTGACAAAAATATTACTCTTGAGACAATTGTAGGCTTCTATGGTTTTCAACTTGGACTAGTGTTCACGGGTGAGCTCGAGCCCTGGGCTGCGAGGAGATGAATGATGTGATGCAGATTCATAACCAAATATGTCCGAGGCAAGTTCTTGCGGAGGAGTTCGCAACTGGGATCAGGGGCCGGGAAATGAGATTGTGAAATTACGTAACATCACCGACAGCCGTAAAATTACTTGGGATGTCACATACGATTAAACCTTTTTTCGCTCCACAAATTTCATTAAATTAACCACGTAACTCTTATAATTCATAAACCCTTAACTATACATCTGTAAGAGTCAGCGCAAACAACTTACAAGTTGAATTATAACAGAAAACTTGGGCTCGTGGCTCTTACGAAATTTTTCGTTGGCATTCCTAACTCACGTGGACATTGTGTACCGGGAGAAAGGTCTTTCATCACCTTTCGCTTCTAAGTCAGCTTGACCAATGAGAAGGCTAGTTCCAGTAAACCTGAGCAAGGGCGGTCACCAAGCAAACTATACAAGAGGCTCCGGAAAGCTGACATGAGTCACATTTTTTACAACGACAACTCTAGCCAAGTGCGGTCTAGTCCTTCCCTTTAAAGATTCAGAATGAACAACCCAGATACTCAAAACAATACTTTCCTCTTTACGTCCGAGTCTGTTGGTGAGGGACATCCTGGTAAGTTTCAACAGTAAGCTTAATTCGCGTTTCAATTGCTTTAGCACGCCGTTCTGAATGAATTTATGAATTGTTCAGGTGTCGGTCGGTCGCAGTTTAAAGTTCACCATACAAACACTGAAACGTGGTACCGGTATATTTTTTCGTAGATAAGATTTGCGATCAGGTCTCTGACGCTATCCTGGATGCTCATCTTAGGCAGGATCCCAATGCTAAAGTTGCGTGTGGTAAGTGGAAGAAAACCTCTACTTTGGAGAGGCGTTGTTTTGAAAAATCATCCTGCGCAATAGCTAGTTTTCCGTGGTTAGTTAGGGATCGGTAAGCGTATGTCAGTTTATAACCAAACCTCGATTATACTGAAAGTTAAAAAGTGTAATTCACCCTTCATCGGGCTGTCCAGTCGATTTAGTTTCGAATTCAATCTCGAGAAAGTTTTTCATTTTGTACTCGATGTATACAAGCTTGGGTCCTGTCGGAACATGTGTTTCTTGGGACGTTGTATCGAGAAGCTGGCGTTTGTCTTCAACGTTAAAATACTTCTGATTGTGGTCAGAATGACAAGTTTATGCCACACTGTTGTTAAATGTTAACCGTTCTTGGTTGTTTTTCGTGGGCATGGTTCCATGCTCGTAGTGATTTCCCGGGAACTCGTGATATTGCGAAATACATTTAATATTCATAGCTTTTCAGATGGATTCATTTGCTTGTCCAGTGTTCATTGAATCTATCTTTTTTCAGAGAAAAATCATTTCTGACGAACTCTTTTGCGTTTTTTCTGGGTTGTAAATATTTCTATGTCAACCCGCTCAGCTTAAGTTCCGTTTTGAACTTGGGCAAAATCCCGCCAAACCGGTTCAACTGATGTAAACATTATCACGTTGCGTAGTTTACTCACGTAGTATTGTTTTCATTCTCTACAAACATGATAACGTAAAATTTATCCACCTTTCAGTTTAAATTGTAAGAAAACCATGTTAAACGGGTGTAAAAACTGCGGGAAAGAAATGTTGATGAATCAGGCGATAGTTAGATTTTTTGTCGACATCCATCGAAGTGCTAATGATCATTCATTCGTAAAACTCATCAAACTCGGATGTGTATCCTAACAGACCTGTTTTTGTCCAATTCCAAAGAGGGTTTTTTCCAGTCAAGCCAGTGTTGTGGGGCGACATTTAAGCGCTTGGCATGAAAATAGGTCTCGTGATTCCTTTTACACCACAGAAGACACGTAATCATTTCAGATGACTTTAATCATGAGAGCAAATCATAGCGTTGTTTACTTGTTAGTGCCACACTCTCATTTTGACTTGATTATTAACGTATTTGTGGAAGTCTTGGTCACGCTAGTCAACTGTCTTTTTCCATTAAGGTATGATTTAGTTGTGATGTATTTTTTTGTTTTGTAGAAACCGTTTCCAAGACTGGCATGATTCTTGTGTGTGGTGAGATTACGTCTAAGGCTGTTGTGGACTACCAGACTGTCATTCGTGACACTGTCAAGAAGATAGGCTATGATGACTCTAACAAAGGTCAGTGTTAGTTTTGGCATCTAATCAATGTGTATGCAGATCAGAAAGACATTCACCCTGTGTAAACTCAAAATTAGAACTTGCGTTAGGAGCAGTCTTTGTGTTTGAACTGGAGAGTAATAGATTTATTGTGGTCTTGTATTGATTATGTTTTGTACATAACAAATTGAACTTGTTAGTGATGAGTGAAGCAACTGATTGACTTGTTTACTCCTCTAGGTTTTGATTACAAGACCTGCAATGTCTTGGTTGCTCTTGAACAACAAAGCCCTGAAATCGCTATGGGAGTCCACACTGGAAGGAAAGAAGAAGATATTGGTGCTGGTGACCAGGGCCTTATGTTTGGCTATGCTACAGATGAAACTGAAGAACTTATGCCTCTAACTGTTGTATTAGCCCATAATCTCAACAGAGTGCTTGCTGAAAAAAGACGAAATGGAAGCATGAAATGGGTGCGACCTGACTCTAAGACTCAAGTTACAGTTGAGTACAAAAATGAGAATGGTGCAGCGATCCCTCTCAGAGTACATACCATCGTTATTTCAGTTCAGCACGACCCTGACATCACATTAGAAGAGATGAGGAAACAGCTGTATGAGAAAATCATCAAGGTACTGTAACATGTTAGCTTTTATCAAGAAAAATGTCATTGAGTTTAAAACAAACCAGCATTGTCTCAAAAACTGTCTTGCTGGTTGTGACTGTTGATTTTAGTGGACTGAAAGATGACAAACATAACCAGAATACCTAGTATGAAGAGTTGATTAGTGCCACTGGGTACAGTTATTTGAGAGGTAAGTTAGTGATTTAATCTGAATGTTTCTTTAACAATGTGACTTATTTTGTAGGAAGTTGTCCCTGCAAAGTACCTCGATGATGACACTATCTACCACCTCCAACCTTCTGGAGCATTTGTGATTGGTGGCCCTCAGGGTGACGCTGGTCTGACAGGAAGGAAAATCATTGTTGACACTTACGGTGGATGGGGTGCTCATGGAGGCGGTGCTTTCTCTGGAAAGGACTTCTCTAAGGTTTGTATTAATTTGTTTTCAAAACATTTAAACTTTTGACTGGTTGCCATACATGTACATTTATTTTTGTCATGGAAATTTGGTGCTTATAACTCTCAAAAGTATCTCTTGATTACTGAATTTTTTCCTTCAGCATTCAACTGTCCAAAATTGTATTAAAAGTGAAAGGAGAATTCATGTTTCCTGTGTCATGATTTTGGACAGTTATAACCTTTTTTTTTTTTGCATTTATCAGGTTGACCGCTCTGGTGCATATGCTGCTAGGTGGATTGCAAAGTCTCTTGTAGCAGCTAAACTATGCCGTCGAGCTCTTGTCCAAGTCTCGTATGCCATTGGTATTGCTGAGCCACTCTCCATCACTGTGTTCTCGTATGGAACTAGCAAAAAGTCTGAAGACGAACTGCTCAAGATTGTCAGGGAGAACTTCGATCTTCGTCCTGGCATGATTGTTAAGTAAGTACCAATGTAATATAGGTGTATACATTAAGGTGTTTGTAAGAGAAATGTATTTTAACTGATTTGGCAATTCACTGCAGGAAAGGTTATTTTAACGTTTGTAGCACTGCATTTAAAGAACGGCAATTTCTAAAGCTCATCCACCAGCCTTCTCTTCAAACTTATATCATGCTGTTGCTTGTGCTTTTGTTTCACTTATAAGAATATTAAGTATTGCAAACCTCAATTTTTGATTTCTCACAAGGGTTCCTTTTTTCCTAGGGCTCTTGACTTGAAGAAGCCCATCTATCAAGATTCATGTGTGTATGGTCATTTCAAGCCTGGTTTCACATGGGAAGTTCCCAAGAAGCTGGTTTTCTAAGTCATTTACCACTTTGTCCCTGGAAACATTTGAGGAAAGTAGACCCATTGGAGTAGACGAGAATGATTGAATTAAAAGTGATACATTGGAGTTTTCAGTTCCAACCTCACAACCACAAATATAGGAAGACACATATATATGAATTTTGACAGTTTTAGTTTAGACAAAATAATATGAAGTATTTTTGTTCAAATACCAAGTGTATAATTGTTTCTACAAGTGTTAGCTCTTCTATTCTGCTGTGAAAGAAATTGCAAGCTCATTTTAGTAAGCCAAATAAAAAAAGGGAAAAGCTATTTTATAAAAAAATGCAGAGAAGTAAAGAACCTTGTGACAAAATACATTCAGACCTAAATTATATTCATTATTTATTACCAAGCAGGCATTCCAAAAGCCTTGAATGCAGTGAATGAGAAGCGTACTTTTTTCTTACTAAGGACGTTCCACACTTGCATTCTCTTTTGTTTTAATGTTTATGTTTTTTTTTTTGTCACGTAATCATATTGTTGCATTCAACATTTTAGCATGTAATGGCAATAAAGGCAATAAAGGGCATGGATTTGTCTTATAAATATCATTCTGATCTGTGTTTGCTGTGGGATACTTTTGATGGCTTTAGTTAAGCTCAATGGGTTGGGCAAATATGGAGCTTTGAGACTATTTGATGGATTTCATTGCCTTTGCCAGAAATATTTTCCTTTCAAGTTCAGCTTTTTGGAGGCATATTTGATAAAATTTGTGACTTGTTTGCCTTGGCCAAGTAAATTGTTAACTGGGAGTTAAATAGTGTTATCTTTGTTCATTGTTTCAAATAAGTGAAATTTTGGCAGACAAGTCTGGGTAATGAGTGAAGTCTTGCAAAGGTAGCCCTCAAAGACACCAATAATTTGGAATCCTAATAAGAAAAACCGTATCCTGGGAAATTAGATTTTCTGTCACTGGACATAGCATAAATGCACTACCAAGATGTTGACAAGTAAGAGCTACTAAATGAAGAAGTAAGTTTTTGAAAGGGAGGAGCCAGAAGTATTATCGGACTGTTGGAAGACAAACCCTGTTATCAGCTGCCTGCTTGAATAATTCCCTTCCTTGATTGCTACACATTTCTTCTTTTGTTATCTATGGCTGTACATCAGTATCCCAGTTTTAATTTTTTTCATGATTGCCTTTGGTCTCAAACTGTAATTGAACCTTCACTAAGAGCCACTTCTCTACAATGGCCACCTTTTTGGTCCCATTGGACAGTCCATACATTCACTCTTAGTTTAACCTCTATAAGGTCCACCTCTTCAGAATGGTAATGGCCACTAAAACTTGTCCCAACTGCCAAAATAACCTCTTGATAATGGCCAGTTATTCAATGACTGACGAACAGTCTATACAAGACAATAACAATCATAGTTGACTGGCAATCTTGTTCCCAGAGTCTTCGTTCCCCTTGACCAGTGGTCAGAAAACGAGAGCTCTGGGAGCAACCATTTTGAAATAACCGAATTCTGGTGATTCTGCCCATCCGATTTGACTGCATAGTCTGCATCTATGGCACATGCCTGAAATGGTTGCTCCCAGAGCTCTCGTTTTCCGACTGCTGGTCACGGGGAACGGAGACTATGGGAATGAGATTGAGTTGACTGGAAGATCTGCTGTTGGTCAGCAGATGATCACCTAGGGCATGTGTAGTTGAATCTTGCCCTCAAGGTCTTGCTTTAGCGTTGCTTTTGCCTTAAGATTGCCACCTCCCACCCACCTCTACACTCTTGGTTAAAGGAGGGCCATGTCCAGCTAAGTTCACTTGTTCTCCATTGAGAATTCATTGTGACAGGTGCCAAGGGGAGGGACCCATTGGAGGTTGCCATGGTTATCCCCTTATTTGCATTTTGCCCGCCCACTTGCTTATTGTCTGCTTTGCTGTCAATTGGCGCCTACCTTCCTCCATTTGAATATTGCTTATCAACAAGTTAATAGACCATTTAACAGTTGTCTGTTCAGTGACCTGGCCTCTAGATGGCAGTGATGCTGGATTTGACCTTGTTTTGATACAGACCTCACTACTTTTGCTGTGTGAAACAAGTTGTTCTGATGCTAACTAGGTGCATTTACATGACAAAAGCAGTGAGGTCTATATCAAAACAAGGTCAATTCAAGCCTCACTGTCATCCAAAGGCCAGGCCACTGAGCAGACAACTGTAAAATGGTGTATTGTAAAAAGTCACCAAACTTGATCCATGCTGTACATTGCCAGTCTCGGTTTCTGTTTAGTTTCTGTTTTATTGATACATTTTTTATTTACATATGATAAAGGAGCATTTTCTGGAAAAAAATTGTTGCAAACCCCCCAAAAACAGGTGTCATTACACCTCTACCTCCCCATAACAGCCACCTCTGTCCACACTGTGGCCCTTGTGGAGAGGTTTGACCATACTCCTAAAGGACCTTTTCGACTATGTGGAGGCCATTTTGAATTCTATTGTTTCAAATAGCTATTATGGGTTGCTCAGGGGGCAAATACATACTAATTTGCCTCCTGAGCATCCCACAATAGCTATTTAAAACAGTAGAATTCAAAATGGCCGCCATATCCCCGAAAAGGTCCATTACTTACATTACTTGCTAAATACTCCTCTTGAGCATGGTGTCTTATGTTTTTAAGATCCAAGCAGATGATGTCAAGGACTCCATTACATAGTACATGTAGCTGGGGTCCTGGGTAAATCCTTTTTTCTCTAGCTATTTGAATATTCTCCATTTCATAGGATTAAAATAAATAAAAAAAATAAATTAGTATGTGAATAAAAAGCCCAGATGAACAGCTTAAATTCAAAAGTAATTAGAACTGCTACAAATTTATGTCTTGACTTAAATCTTTATTTTTATGAGAATTACCAATGCTGCCTCTGAAAATATAAAACCAGAATACAATAAGACCTCTATAAAAACTTTCACTAGCATTTTTAATGAAATTATTTGCTAGCAATCAACACTTAAGCAACTTCACGCACTTTTAAGAGTTAAATATAGAACTACTGTTAACCTGTTAACTCAATCATATACTACAGTCACGAGCCCTGTATTTTTCCACACAGGGGAAAGGAAATGGTGCTACAGTTGAGAAGAGTTGAGTACTGTTATGTGGTTAGATAAATGTGCTTACAGGAGAAAATTTGCAATAATTAACTTCATAACATTAACATTTTGATCGAAATTTTACGATACAAAGTTAGTTTATTTGCAGAAAAAATACTCAAGGCTAAACTTGCAATAAACACTAATGCTAATATGACCACCTTGGAGGCCATTTTACCTTAAAGGAGCTCAGTCACGGTGTGCACATATTGAAAAGTTTAACCTCAATTTTTCAAATTTGTCATTTGGAATCCATGTTAATCTTCTCCATCCTTAGCCATCCTTGTTCCTTTATGGTTTATCATTATGTCTCTAAGCAATAGACCACAAGTTTTTATTGTTTATAGGCTGATAAACCACGCAGGATGTTGGGAGAACACAAGAAGAATTCATAAATCATGAGCTGCAGGGGAGTGATTTACGAATTCTTCGAGTGCTCTTCCAACATCCCAAGTGGTTTATCATGTCTCTAAACCATAAGAACTTGTGGTCTATTGCTTTTATATGACAATTCAGAAGACATGCAAAATTTCTGAGTTTACTGGCACAATAAACCATGGCTGATTGACCAACCAGAGCGCACGCATTCATTTAATTATTATATAAACCTTATTAAACTGTTATTTTCAGGTTTCCTAATTTTGTATGTGGCCAAAATAACTCAAAATACTGTGACTGAGCCCCTTCAACAAAATCTTAAAATATTTAAGATGATCACCCAAGAGTTACCCTCAGGCCAAAGAGTGGTGGCCATACTGAGCGATACCGACAGGGTGCTTGTAAGGTGGTGCTCCACTCTATCACAATTCATTAAGATTGTTTAGTAAAAAAAGTTACCAGCATTTGATGACGGAAATCATTTCGTTTTCTGATTTATCTAGAAATACTCTTTATGCCATTACTATTGGCTTTTAGTATCACCCAACTAGTGGACTAATGCAAATCCTGCATTTTAATTGGCTACGCTACTACTTAAGGGCCACGGGTCAATAGCCCATTTGGCTTCACCTCATGGGCTATTGACCCGTAGCCCTTGCGGGCTACGGGTCTAATTGTTACTTAGTACAACTCTAGCAACCTCCTACCACGAATGGCATTCTCTGATTGGCTACACTACTCACTATCTATTCTGTGATAGATAGTGAGGAGAGTGCAAAGTGCCTTGTTAACAAAATGACGTCCGCTTCTTAGTGTTTTTGACGTGTCTGTGAAGAGGATTTAGATAAAGTTTT